GCATAATAATACTTTGAGAGTTTTTTCGTCAAACAATATTTTGCTTTGTGACCCTTGTCATTACATTGGTGCTTTCACTCTTCACTTCCATTCGTGGATGAAAACACTCGCTTGAAAGAGTTATCCTCTGATGTTAAGTGCATTTTAAAATTGATGGAATCTCGGCACATGGAGTATTCTACTCGTTTTGAGAGTCTTGAAACTACAATGACGTCGTTGCATGTAGCGAGTACCTCATCGAACAGGTCTGATTCCAGTTTTGTGACGCTATTTCAGATTCGTAATGTCAAACTTGATTTCCCATGTTTCAATGGTTCAAATGTGTTGGAGTGGACTTTTCGGGTTGAAATTTTTTTCATGTTTTACAATACCCCGGAGGAGCAATGTGTTACCATTGCTATATGGAGGCAAATGTAATTCCTTGTTTCAAATACTAGCTAAGACCACTCCATTTCAATCTTGGATTAATTTCAAGCGATCCTAGGAATTGGAATTTATCTCTTCCCCTTATGAATGTCTTCGTTCTACCCTTTTTAAATTGATGCAAATGGGATTCGTTTAAGATTATTACCGAGAATTTACAGTTTTTGTCAATCGTGTTTAGGACATTACTACAGATGCTTAACTTGATTTTTTCATTAGTGGGCTCAAGATTGACATCCGTCGTAATGTTATTGCTCAAAATCTCATAAAATTATTACGTGTTGTTTCATTGGAAAAGCTATTTGAAGAGAAATACCAGCCAAAACAAAAACCTACCTCAACCCTTCATTACCCCTAAATATCCACTATCCTCTTTAGCCCAAACAACAAAATCTACCAACTTAGCAACCTTGTTACCCAACCCAAACACTATAAACCAGCCTAATTTATAGTTAAGTAAGTTTGTCAATGTTAAAAAAATGTTTACAACAAAAATGCACTTACGCCAGGACAAAGGATTGTGTTTTACTTGTGATGAGAAATTTTCACCTCGCCATAGATGCCCTAACAAACAATATTTGTTGTTACAATTAGAGGAAGAGGTGGACTCGACACTAGAACCTGAACCACCTGATGTAGTCAATAATCCTCACATGCAATCACTAGACCAAGAACATCACCTTTCTTTTAATGCTCTCAAAGGAGCCTCTAGCATTGGTACTATGCGATTTCAGTGTACTACCAATGGGGTCACGGTTCAAGTACTACTTGACAATGGGAGTTCAGATAACTTCTTGCAACCACGACTTGCCCATTGCTTGAAATTAACCATTGAACCCACCACTAGATTTCAGATCATAGTTGGTCATGGAATCTCCTTGACTGTGGAAGGTATGGTGAAGGTAGTTGACCTCCAGATCCAAGGGCACTCTTTAAAACTACCAATTTACTTATTGCCAATATCGGGTGCATATTTAGTCTTAGGGGCAGCTTGGTTACCTACTTTGGGCCCCATATTTTTTACTACAAGGCTTTGACATTGAAGTTCTTGGTGGAAGGGAACTATATAACACTTCATGGGGATAAACCACAACTTCCAACTCCAACACAATATAATAATCTTTGAAGATTGCAAAGAACTCATGCCATATCTAAACTATTTACACAGTTTCAGCAACCCCATTGTGTTGTTGATCACAGATTTCAATTACCTATGATTTTAGACCCTGAATTAACTTTACTTTTGCAGACCTATCATGATGTTTTTGCAGTTCCTACTAGTCTTCCTTCAAGTAGATCAAACGATCATTGTATTCCTTTGATTATAGGGGTTGATCCTGTTAAGGTTATACCCTATAGATACCCTCACAGTCAAAAGGAACAAATTGAGAAGATGGTCAGAGAGATGTTATAAGAAGGAATTATAGTGCCCAGTAATAGCCCTTTCTCTTCACCAATTATGTAGGTCAAGAACAAAGATGGTACTTAGAGATTGTGTACAGACTACCGCGCCTTAAATGCCATAATCATCAAAGACAATTTTCCTATTCCCAGTGTTGATGAGTTAATTGATGAGCTATTTGGGGCTCAATATTTTTCCAAGCTTGATCTCTGGTCTGGCTATCATCAAATCTTGCTTAAGAAGGATAACCAATATAAGACAACATTCAGAACACATCATGGGCACTATGAATGACTTGTAATGCCATTTGGGTTGACGAATGCTCTAGCTACATTCCAGTGCTTGATGAGTGAAATCTTTCAGGATATGTTGAGGAAATTTGTGTTGGTTTTTTTTACAACTATACTAGTCTATAATCCAATGTGGTCTTCTCATTTACACTAACTAGAAGCTATCTTGCAATTACTAAGGAAGCACAAATTTTTTTCCATGTTCTCTAAGTGTTCATTTCTTGTTACTCAAGTGGAATACTTAGGACACATTGTTTCGGGTCAAGGCGTGGTTGTAGATGCTTCCAAGGTAGACGTTGTGTTAGGCTGGCCTCTTCCTACTAACCTCAAGTAGTTAAGGGGATTTTTGGGTCTTACAGGTTATTATAGGAAGTTTATCAAGGGTTATGCATCTATTGCATCTCCTTTGACAAATTTGCTAAAGAAAGACAACTTTAATTAGGATGTTGCTACCACTACAACTTTTGACACTCTCAAATCTGCTTTAACTCAGGTTCCAGTACTTATTCTTCCAAATTTTTCTACTGCTTTTATATTCGAAACAAATGCATCAGGGACTGATATAGGAGCTATGCTTAGTCAAAGAATCATCTAGTTGCTTTCTTTTTTAAGAAATTAAACCTCGGACTTCAGAAATAATCAACTTATACACAAGAATTATATGCCATCTTTGAAGCAATAGCAAAATTCATACATTGCCTTTTGGGGCACAAGTTCTTAATTAGAACAGATTAGAAGAGTCTTATTCACCATCATTTGCCAATGGCCCATATTATGTACCAACAACTAGTGAGTTTATTGATTAAATTTTGATAAAAGTTGACAATATTGAGAAACACATACGCATCAATGTATAACACGATATACAACTCTCTTTTAGACTCAGTCATCCATGTTTGCATATATAATAGTCTGGAATCTAATGTGTTTCCAGATGGTTGAATGGTCTGAAGTTCAAGAAAGTCATACATTGTTGCCCGACCTTGTTCCACTACGATGGTGTCCATGTACCTATAACAATAAAGTTAAGTATATTTATTAAAAAGTAATAATAATAATAATATATAAATTGTTAAATAACAATTAAAAAACTTACATGCACCATAGTTGTATGCATGAAATGTTCAACATTATTTCTCCAACAACGACTTTACTATCGAGTATAAATCAAGGAAGGACAATTTGGCAGTAGATGCTTTATCTAGATCATTTTTCATGGCATGGCCTCAACCAAAATTGACAATTCTACCCGTATTATGTGATGCGATTACAACGAATACGAAATTACACAACATCTGTGAGTTATGTCGCAAGGGTATCCCTTCCTAGGAATCATGACTTGATTCAGCACATATTATATGAATTTTACTCTTCCCCACTCGGCGGAAATTTGGTTGTTGCACAAACTGTATATTGGATTGCTGCACAATTTCACTAGCAAGGTCTGCATAGCTAATTTTGTTAAGAAATGTCTCATTTGTGAACATGATAAGTCTTCCAATACATTACCTTCAGGGTTGTTGCATCATCTTCCCATTCCAGCACAAATATGGGATGATATCGCAATGGATTTCATTACGGGACTATCCAATGCTTGTGGGTTTACAGTGATCATGGTAGTGGTTGATAGACTTTCTAAGTATCCCATTTTGCTCCTCTAAAAGCCGATTACAATAGTGTGCAAGTGGATGAATTGTTCATGCAGACAGAGGTGAAATTGCATGGATTTCCCAAGTCTATTGTATCGGATAGAGACAGTTTTTATGACTTAGTTTTGAAACAACTATTCCAGTTGAGTGGCAATTTGTCGGCCATGAGCACCGCATACCATCCCCAATCTGAAGCTGTCAATCGTTGTTTGGAAATGTACTTATGTTGTTTTGCTTATGACAATCCAAAGATGTGGCTGAAATTGTTACCTTGGACAGAATTTTGGTATAATACTTTTCCTATTATCCAATATATTGGTACGATGGCTTTCAAATTGTTGTTGCCTTCAACTGCTGGCATTCATCCCGTTTTTCATGTGTAGCAGTTGAAACCATGTCACTGTGTTCATAAAAAATCATATATTCCACTTCCTCTAGTTACTAATGACCAAGGTCTTATATTATAGCCACATGAGATTTTGCAATCTAGAGTTATTATGCAAGGAGGCCAACATATTCCTCAGGTTTTGGTACATTGGGACGGTATCGGTGTAGAACATGCTACTTGGGAGGATTTTCTTATGTGCAAAACACTTATCCTAACTTCAACCTTGAGGGCAAGGTTGATTTTAATGGGAAAGGTACAGCCACAAGTGGTAATAACACAAGGGAAATTCAGGAAAAGAATATAGAGGAGAATAATTCTGTTAGGAAGAATGGACAGATGTCAAGTAATCCTATAATGAGCAACAAAAAGAGTGCAAGGATGAGAGGCCCAATGTAGGTATGAAAGATTATGTGTGAGGTGGAAGTGGTTATATAAATCTGAGACGAAAAGGAAAAAAGAGTGTGTTTGTTACATTCTGTTTTTATTCTCTGTCTTGTCTCTATAGTTACTATCATTATGGAGTGTGACCTTCATTCCCGATGAGAGAAAATGAAGCATAATAATACTTTGAGAGTTTTTTGTCAAACGATATTTTGCTTTGTGACCCTTGTCATTACAAACTATGGTAAATTCATACAAATATTATTTATAATTATTTCTAACACAAAACAACCACTTTAATAAGTGGAAACTTTATTCATCTCAAGGAACTAAACTGAAATATTGTCCCTTATTTCAGCTATATATAATGCCTAGCATCTAAAAATTGAGCTACCCTCATTGGATTTTGATATTTGTAATGCTTCACCATCACTAGTTGACTCATCATGAGAATAATGCGAGCTTGAGCTACTTAGAGAGACGCTCTGAATTGGAGGAGATGGTGGCTGTCTTAAATTCATGTGCATCATCTGACATGTGCTATTACTATCTATGAATTCTGAACTGCGAGTTGGTGATTCATCTTCGCACTTGAAGGATTCCTTCATTTCATCTTCAGATTCGTCAGACTCTGATGCACTATAAATCGAATCTGACCTTGCTGGGGAGTAATCTCTTACGATGCTGTCACATGTTCTGCCTTCCACAATGTCAGTCAAAGCATCAACAACCTGTAGTAACAAATATGAAGTCAAGGAAAATAAAAAAGCATCACCTTGGAATCTTCTCATGCATTTTATCAAGTTGATCATGAATGTTAGGAAAAACAATATATGATTGTTTTTCATTTAATCTAGCACTGTCTCTAACATATTCTTTACTACTGGATATGTCTAAACTTTTTCAAAGCTATAAGTAATATAAAAAGAAGACAATTTCCAAAATTGTAGCCTACCTGAATCATATTTAGTCTCCTTTGAGGCTCTCTGCTTAGACATTTCTCAGCTATTCGAACCATCCAAAATAGTTGATGAACATCATGAGCCTTAATGATCCTTTCATCAATTAAATCTGGATAGTTCCTCTCTTTTAAAAGTGGCCTTGCCTGCAAGAAATTTTCTTTTGGATATTAATTGACAAACTTATTAGGATTACTTAGTTATGTCTATTCATCTGAGTGTTGGAGTTAAAACTTATAAATCAGGCCCAACACTTCTATAAAGTCAAAATAAAAAGAACATTATCAATAGTAGTTGATTGTGTTCATGTACTTAAAGGTCAACTGAAAAAAATACAAATTAGAATAACTGAACTACCGATTCTGCCTAAATAGTGTCTTAAATGATTGTAAGAAAAGATTCAAAAGGGACAAAGATTTTAGCATATCCGTGAAATTTATTTGCATCATGTTGATGCTTTGATGAGCTGAGGTAGTACTAGAAAATTAAGATACTTTGAAATTTCATAGCCTTTAGATTGTTACCCATCCCACAAGACTTCTTCCTCCAAGTCTTTTATCTGTAGTTCTCATTCCTGTTATTAGCTGCAGTAGAACCACTCCAAAAGAGTATACATCTGTTTTGCTAGACACTTTCCCATGTTCTGCATATTCTGGTGCCAAGTACCCCAAAGTTCCAACAACTTCGGTTGAGTGTATCGAGTCTNTTTTAGACCCTGAATTAACTTTACTTTTGCAGACCTATCATGATGTTTTTGCAGTTCCTACTAGTCTTCCTTCAAGTAGATCAAACGATCATTGTATTCCTTTGATTATAGGGGTTGATCCTGTTAAGGTTATACCCTATAGATACCCTCACAGTCAAAAGGAACAAATTGAGAAGATGGTCAGAGAGATGTTATAAGAAGGAATTATAGTGCCCAGTAATAGCCCTTTCTCTTCACCAATTATGTAGGTCAAGAACAAAGATGGTACTTAGAGATTGTGTACAGACTACCGCGCCTTAAATGCCATAATCATCAAAGACAATTTTCCTATTCCCAGTGTTGATGAGTTAATTGATGAGCTATTTGGGGCTCAATATTTTTCCAAGCTTGATCTCTGGTCTGACTATCATCAAATCTTGCTTAAGAAGGATAACCAATATAAGACAACATTCAGAACACATCATGGGCACTATGAATGACTTGTAATGCCATTTGGGTTGACGAATGCTCTAGCTACATTCCAGTGCTTGATGAGTGAAATCTTTCAGGATATGTTGAGGAAATTTGTGTTGGTTTTTTTTACAACTATACTAGTCTATAATCCAATGTGGTCTTCTCATTTACACTAACTAGAAGCTATCTTGCAATTACTAAGGAAGCACAAATTTTTTTCCATGTTCTCTAAGTGTTCATTTCTTGTTACTCAAGTGGAATACTTAGGACACATTGTTTCGGGTCAAGGCGTGGTTGTAGATGCTTCCAAGGTAGACGTTGTGTTAGGCTGGCCTCTTCCTACTAACCTCAAGTAGTTAAGGGGATTTTTGGGTCTTACAGGTTATTATAGGAAGTTTATCAAGGGTTATGCATCTATTGCATCTCCTTTGACAAATTTGCTAAAGAAAGACAACTTTAATTAGGATGTTGCTACCACTACAACTTTTGACACTCTCAAATCTGCTTTAACTCAGGTTCCAGTACTTATTCTTCCAAATTTTTCTACTGCTTTTATATTCGAAACAAATGCATCAGGGACTGATATAGGAGCTATGCTTAGTCAAAGAATCATCTAGTTGCTTTCTTTTTTAAGAAATTAAACCTCGGACTTCAGAAATAATCAACTTATACACAAGAATTATATGCCATCTTTGAAGCAATAGCAAAATTCATACATTGCCTTTTGGGGCACAAGTTCTTAATTAGAACAGATTAGAAGAGTCTTATTCACCATCATTTGCCAATGGCCCATATTATGTACCAACAACTAGTGAGTTTATTGATTAAATTTTGATAAAAGTTGACAATATTGAGAAACACATACGCATCAATGTATAACACGATATACAACTCTCTTTTAGACTCAGTCATCCATGTTTGCATATATAATAGTCTGGAATCTAATGTGTTTCCAGATGGTTGAATGGTCTGAAGTTCAAGAAAGTCATACATTGTTGCCCGACCTTGTTCCACTACGATGGTGTCCATGTACCTATAACAATAAAGTTAAGTATATTTATTAAAAAGTAATAATAATAATAAAATATAAATTGTTAAATAACAATTAAAAAACTTACATGCACCATAGTTGTATGCATGAAATGTTCAACATTATTTCTCCAACAACGACTTTACTATCGAGTATAAATCAAGGAAGGACAATTTGGCAGTAGATGCTTTATCTAGATCATTTTTCATGGCATGGCCTCAACCAAAATTGACAATTCTACCCGTATTATGTGATGCGATTACAACGAATACGAAATTACACAACATCTGTGAGTTATGTCGCAAGGGTATCCCTTCCTAGGAATCATGACTTGATTCAGCACATATTATATGAATTTTA